TTCCTTCCTTGCTTTGCAAAAATTTGCCTATCGTAAATATCAATTAGTCACTCATTGTCACAATTTGTATCATAATACTCGACGACTTTGAAAAATTTGGATAACACCAGTCACGTTTGTAAATACGCACCCTATCGGGAATAGATCGTTTTCACCGTGACGCAATAAAAAAATAAATCAAAAACCATTTAGTGAAAAAAGCTGAGAAATTGTGATGTTATGGAAGATAATTAAATAAGACACTTCTCCAAGTTTTAGGCCTGTGCGTTTCTCCAAACTTCAGATATTTGTCTGAATGTTTCGCACAAATTTACAGAGCTCCAGTGTGTCAACGTCATGTTGGTAGGTGTAAATCCGTGGTACCGACCAATATGGCGGCCGGAAAATGGTGTAAACATCTGGAACTTACTTTGGCTATCTAGGCGACTGATTATCAGTGCTGAACATACAAGCATTTACATAAGTACTTTTCCTAAAGCTCGAACTTCTAAAACAGCTCAAAATCATGCGATAAGTATATATTTTTCAACAAACTCGATCGTGGCCTTGTTTCACGCACCTCCATAACCCCGAAATTCAAAATGCTCTGGTTTCCAAACGAAGCACGCTATTGAATTGTAAAATTGTATACAGATATAAATATACCGCCTCTTATGCCTGATGAGGATAAAAACTTTGTTGGCTCTTTAGTTTTGAATTTTAAAAAGTGATAACGTCACATTAAACTCGTTGCAGGAATTTACATGGATAGTGTCGTAAAGCCAAGACGCATTTCTCTAAGTGAAAATATTTCCAGAACTAGGTGCAAGTAAAGTACTATCGTATTAAAAAAATATATTTTGCAATATATGCAACATTATTGAAATACTTGTGGTGCATAATCAGGGATCAAGGACACGTAAGCAGACTTTTGAATGTTTTACATAATGTTTTTCTCTGGATTTTTCTTTATTCCTATTTTCAGGTTTAATTTGAAGAATCTCTGTTTCTGATTAGCAATCGATCATTAGAAACTATCGCTCTCTTCAAGTTCCACAAACCACAGTAAACAACAGCATGGTTTTTCGAACCATTTTTAGCCTAAAGATTAACGTACAGTGGTTGCAGTATGGCCGTAAGTCACGCTAAAAGGAGCCAACATCTAGAAACCTATCTACTAATTGATTAGAAAAATAAAAACGGAAATAGAATGCGATATTTTAAACAAGAGGGTCTTTTTTCTGCGAAAGTCGTAGTCCCCTACCACGCCACTGACTTCCCAGGCCAGCATCATCTAGTCACACCCGTTCAACATACCATCAATTTAACCTAACTTTAAGACGTAACTTACCCGAGAGTCGGTAAAATCACGGCGAACTGGATACCAGAAGGTAAAGTTTCTCAGACGAAACTCTCCTCGACAC